AGATGAGATTCCGTGGGCGCATTCGATTAACACGAACTTTAAGAGAAAAAATTAATAATTGTTCGATTAACAAATTAATAACAATTGAATAAAGTAAGAAAGAAATGAATCAACAATCAAGCATATACATAATACACACACGCCATATACAATGCGCAAATATTCCGTGCTCAAATTGCTTTGGTGTTGGCGTACAGCTATGTTCACAATGACTTGCTTGATCGTTACTTCCCTTCGAGAACGTGCGTCTTTTAAGGATACGTGCACCCGAGCACCAATTTTTAATTATTCATTCGGTAAAGAAAGATACCATTCAACCGCATAATAAACTCGTCATTACTTTTGGAGGCGAGAACGATGTGATTGGCTCAAAAAAAGAAACTTATGAAATGATATGACAACAAAAATAAAAAAGGAATTACGCGTTACAAAATGGAAGACTAGTCTTTGTTTCCCTCTTTTTTTTTGTGTACGCATTTGTTTGTTGCTTGGCGATGATGATTCTTCATCTATAAGAGGGTTAATTAATTGCACGTACTGATGCTTCTAAATACAGATCAATCAATTTCAAATTATAAAGTGAATGATTTAAAAGTTCACGAATTTATCACTAGTTAGCTATTAATTTGGAGAAGAAAAAAAAATTACATCATTCGTGATAAAATTTTTCGCGTTACTTTTATCCCCTTAAGATCAGTGATATCTTATTTAGGAATTTTAGGAGACAAATAAAAAAAGTAAATAAGAAAAAAAATATGTATTACTGGGGATGATTTAATTTATTGTGTTACTAAATGGGATTGAAAGTTTACGTAATATACCCAAAAGGGGATTTATTGATTGACTTCGTATCACTCTTTATCGAACAATTGGCGCAGTGAATCCTTGATCGTATTTATTGACCATTTTCAAATCTATGCATTTTAGTTTGAAGAAAAAAGGTTGTACCTAAATAAAATTTCGCTAATAGTAGATTTTATAGGATTAATTGAGTATAAACAGAAAAAATGATCCCCGTATGTATACATGTATATATACATTAGTAGTTACGAGATCGTCTTAGCATAATATTGTATAACTTATAATATATCGATATGTGGTGAAATTCCGTCTGTGCAATCTACGTGTAATAGGGATACATGAGCTTTGTAATTGTGTAAGAAAATAAACTCAATCAGAGGTGACGTTAAAAGGAAAAGAAGAAACCATGATTCAATTAAGAAGTCTACGCCGACTGTAATATTCGATTTTTTCTAATAATACATGTCACATAGACGTAGCTAGTTTCGGTATGTAGTTTTTCTTATTATCCAAATTTGCGCAAACAGATAAAACTCTATTTATAGAGTAAAACCTTATTCATTTTACATCCTCATAGCCTGTGCCACATTTTTTTCGATCGACAGGGCGAGTTTCGCCCGAAAAACACTACCGGCCGGCAAATTTGATAAGAGCATTTGTGGAATTCTGAAACATAAAAAATCTGACTTCCAGATTTTTATCCGCTCGATATTCCCTTCACTTTGGGAATTTTACTTTGTAAAAAATATGCATTAATGCGCGTTATCTTATATTATTTTACATGTTTCATGTGGTTCATTTTTTAATAGAATTATTTGAGAGTTCGAATTTAGAGTCGATACATTTTACAAGTACCTCTATGCGACACCTGATAGTTACATATACACATAGCGATATTTTTGTTCTTATCTACGTAAAAACGATTTCCCTCATCCGTGATAGCATGCACGATATTGGTTGGGTGGCTAAAATGAAATGAATCAATGTCATTGTGTTTTCCTATGTATGACATGAGTGGGGTAAATTAAAACAGAAAACACAAAAATAAATCGAATAAACATTTTGCCTTTGACGTCTGACTCTTTTTTACGCCATTGTTGGTTTTTTTGTCTTTTCTGCATGCCATACTTTCTGATGAATAGTCAGATGTGTATGTACGTAGTATGAATGTTTGTGTATACTGTATGTGCGTGCTTTAAACAATGATCCCCCTTTTTTTTTAACTGCAAAATTTGTTTGTTATGTGGGATACGTGTGCTTTATTATATAATTTTGAATGAGCGCATTCTTGTTTTAGCATGAATTAATTACATTTGTATGTCTAGGCTGTTAAAGACAGGAGCAAAGCAAAAATGATGTAAAATGAAATGAAATGAAATTATTATTTGTTTTTTGGGATAGAATTCCTATGTTTAATATTTATGGATTATTGTTATTTTACAAGTTTTATGTGAGGTTGCGGTATGATGCGTTTGTGATTTGTATGTATGTATAAAGATGAAATTAATGAATTAACTACAAAGAAAAACTAATGGATAAATGTTACGAAAGTGCATTATTCTCCCCTTCAAATTGAGGTAACGACATTAATTCCCATTGATTAAGATTATCATTTACATGACCATTGGAATGTTTAAGAAAAGCCGGTTTAGGTGATTTTGGTGATAGTGGTGACCTAGGGCCACTTGTATCACCTGCACCAGTACCACTTTCCAACGATGTACTAGCTCGTCTGTATTGTTGATAGATGCGCTTCGCAAACACATACTGACATACGGCAATCATTGGTTGTGGTCCGGTAATATACCACATTACCGAATAGAAAAGATTAACATTATTTATTGAGGCGACGATGCTTTCATGCGCAATTCCCCAGATGAGCCAACATGGCCCCGTCATACCCGAGATGTAACACAAATAGGTCATCGTGTATTTCAGACGATGAAAAGCTTTTCGTGTCGAACTGCTATTTTGCTTAAAGAACGAAGCGCCCGTTTTATTTTCGGATTGCCGTAGTGACCCTCGGAGAATTAACATGAAATTTATGCCGTAGTATGCGGTGACTAACGAAAATGCAATATCAAAAAGAAAGTCAGCGATGTATTGTACAGTGCTAAATCTATCCGCGGTGACGATGTCCCCGCGATCCCTCGATAGACCAGAGAGTATCGCACATGGTAGTGCGATTAGCGATGGCCATAGACACCCGACTAATAGACATATGTTGAGTTGACCTGGTGTCGGAAGAAATAATTCATGTGTTGTAAAACTATATGCAGAGTTGCTATTATTATTTGCACCTCCGTTGTTGGTTTGCACTGAAACTAGCGCGGATGTACCGCGCGTGTAATTTACAGGGATTGTATATATTATTCCTTTAAAAAAAGAAAAAAGAGGAGATTAAATGTTTGTTTCGTGATAAATGAGAATAATAAGAATTAATAGGGCACACTCACCGATGAGATAAGTAACAGCGCCATAACTTAAAAAAGTCCAGGCTAATTCCTGACCCATTTCACGCTGCCAGTAAGTCGCATAAAAATCCCCCCACAAAAATGCACAGTGAGCAGCCCTAATCCACGACGCAATCATAAAAAACAGCAGCAAGCAATCCACCGGTAATGGACGTATTCCGCCTCCGTGATCTACAAATAATCCTTGCCACACGTATTTAAATCGACACCAGAAAATAAATCCACCCGATATCGCTAACAATCCGTACGTAATCGTCGAGAAGATTACCTCTGCAAGCCATAATTGAGAGTTGTGGCAGTCGTAAATTTCTACGCGCCAATCACAATATTTTAGTGGGGTTGTATTTGTAGTGTTTAAATTCATTTTTTCGTTGAAAGGTTTGTTTTGTTTGTATGTATGTAGTCTTTTATTTTATTTAGGGGATAATCTCTGTTTTTACTAAAAAGTGAGATATTTCTGATTTCGTTTCGTTAAATTATAAGCATTATGTAAAATATCAAAAAAAAAAAAATACAGAATATAAATACAGATATCGAAAAATTAAAGATTGTGTTTAGAAATAAATAGTTGTACCAAGAAGAAATGTCCAATAATGATGAAGTAGGTATATGCTAGCGCTAGCGAGTCAAAATCATATAATAAATAAATAATACTAATGCTCTCTGTTACTCTTTAGATGCCAGATAAAGAAGTAGAAAGAAAGAAAGAAAGAAGTAAGAAAATGAAGAGAGTGCTCGTAAGATGATAAAGAAAGTGCGTGAACTCTACAGGTTGGAGGAGGCAAGCTCTTTATTGTTTTTTTTTTTACGTTTGATGCAGAGACACTACAGTATAAAATAATTTCTATTAGCTTGTTGATATATCTTTCGTTATCTAGTATTACGTTACTTTTTTATACGCATACTATTTATTCTATTCAGGTATATACTCTTTTCCTTTTTGATTTCGTAAATTTATAATAAACTTCAGATTATATAATAACATATTGTCGTGCCAATATATTAACATTAATAATACGTAGTTCTTTACTTTTCTTCTCTTTCATTTAACATAGTAATAGTATTAGGGTAGTATTTAACGTTAGATTATAATAGTGTTGGTGGTAAGGTTGAGAAAAGAGAGGTGAACCAAATTCTAAAGATACGCAAAACTTTCTTTGTTAACCCTTTTCGGCAAAAACTAGGAATCTTGCCATATTCAAATGTCCATCAGTCGGTATTTAATAAAAGTATTTTTGGCTACGTGTATTCTTAGTTTACACTGAAACATTGACATACCGTATGAATGCATGTACTGTAACCTGTGCTCCTTTTATGGATTCTTGCATTTGTCGATATGCCCGGTGAATCATGTGCAAATATAATAAGCCAAGATGGTATTTATTTTCGTTCTTGTCACCTTTATCACAGATTTATGTTTATGATATTACTAATCTTACGGTTGGGAATTATACAAAAAGAAAACAAGAATTTTGTCCCTCCCCTCCCCCCCTTTTTTTTTAAAAAAAAAGCGCAAACCCTAGTTTCACCAAATATTTTTTTGGTAATATATTCTATGGACGATCAATTAAATGTATCGAATATCAATTTAGAAATTTATAAGTTGCACCATTCATATTACATGTGCCCTGAATAAAAATGTTTTGCTAGTTAAAAATGATGCCAATGTATGTATGTATGTATGTATGAATGGTATACGAGACATAAAATCATACTGTTTTTCTTTGGATCCAAAAAGAGAAATTTGCATACAGTTGATAATTTATGTATAACGATAACGGATTTAATGACGATAATACCGTATATACATGCGCATGTACATATATACGGTATTATTTGTCCATTATCGTTATTACAGTAACTGTAGTTTATTTTTTGTGTGGGGTACATCGAATACGGCGCAACAATGAAATTTTCATTCTCCGTGTTCTTGTCTAATTTCCGACTACCAGACTACTGTATCCGCTTATCCTTGTTTGTGAGCTGATTATTATTTTTTTTTGTATATAAATAAAATACGGTATTTGTTGTGATAGCGGATAATTCAAAGCGAAAGTAATCACATGTGGGAAAAGAGGTAACAATTTTTTTTTTGGTTTAGACACGGGTCAAGGGTTTATCTATTGATTTATTTTATTTGGTGTGAGAAAGAGATTTCGTAAATTCTAAAGTGAATAAGTAAGGGGATATCATTTTGACTGAAATTTCGTGAACATACCAACAATACGTATTATTATAAATGCAGTTAGCAAAAAATTTGTTCGAAACATAAACCCTCGAATTAATAGAAGAGAAGAGCATGGCTGATTTTTTTTTACGTGTCAAGTTGTGCGTTTATTAATTTTGTGGTATGTTACGTTATTGTCGTTGAGATATCACACTCAAAAAGTTGCAGTAATAACAATTACAATCGAGTACCAATAGCTAACCAATGAATAATTAATTGGACAAGATTTTTAATAACTTAGTAGTGTTTGCAGCTAAAGCTTTACCAACATCAATTTCCTGTGAACTATATTGAGTAATATTTCAGATAATTTTAGTATCAGCCAAAACCTCGTTAAACCGAAGAATTAATTACAACATACGTACATGCATAAATTGTATTCATTTAGCTTCATATCAATCTTTCTCGTTAAAGCACCTCGGACAAAGTTTAACAAACATCAATTCCTATGAGTTATATTGAGTAAACTTGCACATACAGTAGCTATCGTTCTTTTTAAACTTACAAAATCTCGTTAATTTTTGTTGAAAATTATCGATTTTGTATCAGCAAGTCTATAAAAAAAGCACAAATTCAATAAATAACAACCAAAATAACAGAAATAACAAATAGATTAATTATAGTTTCATATCCTCTTTATCCGGTGATTTTTAAAACATCCAAGTGCACGAAAGAGAATTCACATTAACTGACTTTTCATCCTTTTTGTAATTTAGCAATTTCTTTACACAGAGTAAGACTACAATACAACATTTATGATAACTGCAGCGAAGATAAAGATTTTTATTTAAATTTATTTCTTAAATAGCTAATCGACTACACAGTGCATTTCTTTCAATTTGAAAGAAATGATCAAAAGTTTTTCCTAATGGGAATAGATTAATACTTGAGCATTAAAAGAGACATTTACGATATATCATCTATTTATGAGGTTTCCACATAAGTAACATCATCGTACTCCAAGATATCAGGTTCGGTAATGTTTGCGCAAGCCAATCGAGTATCTTCAGAACAAATAAATTAACGGAACAATCAATCACCATTTGAAAAAAAAAATCGAGGTTCAAACAACAAAAAACTTACTATTGTCAGGACTATAAATAACAAAAGACTTTCCCAAGATAGAGTTATTTCCAACCCACTCTAAATACGGATCGGAATAAGAAATAACCTCCACGTCGTTCTCGTCACTATTCATTCCGGGTAATCCACCCCACTTTCCGCTCAAATCACCTTCTGGACAATTCTGTTTCATCTGTGGGCTACATTGCGTCGTGGTATTTGTGGCAGTATTGTTGTTGTTGTTGTTGTTGTTGTTGTTGTTAAGAGAGCTACCCAACACATTTCCGACAGAATTACAATTGCCATTTGTCGGAACGGGATACTCGTGAATTTTATACGGATATTCTTTCGTAGAATCGTTAAAGCCACTTGCGATGATGTCAACTTTTGTTGTTGTTCCTTCGAGGTTATCTGATTCGTAATCCGAGTAATTAATGTAGACACCAATGAATGATACTGCGAAGAAAATGTTACTTTTGTTGTTGGTGTAATTTGCAACTCCTAAATTGAACTCTGTAAGCTCGATACTTTCAAAGTCGGAGGTATCATTGAAATTGGTGTTATTTTGTTGGTTTACTGGCACCGCAGCTGCTATGCTTACTATTACCAAAAACGATAAAAGTAACACGACCGAAACTCTCATTTTTCCACTTTATTAATATTTTTCATAAACGACGAAAAATAATGAATTGATCCAACCAAGCGTTCAACAAAAACCATCGCTCCCTTTTTATGTATTTTTCCGTAAAACATAACACGAGATCTTTATTTATAATTATAAATAAAAATAATGGTTGGTTGCCTTTATTAGAAAACTGTAAAGTCTGAGCCACGCAATTTAATAGTCATCGTCCACAATAACTATTGTGTTTTTTTCTGATTTTGCGTAATGACGTGTATTACTTTCTGCGGTTAATGGCAAATTTTTATGCTTGGCGGAAACATTGGATGACAAAAATTATGACGTACATCATGTCAATAAAAAAATTACGTAAAACCATTTTCGACAATCACATGCATGTATATAACATTCTTTTTATTTACAGTAGATTATAATTTAAGCTTTACAATTCCTAACATATAAACAATATCCATCTAATGATTTTAAATACTTCACCAACTGATCAGCCAATAATTGATGAGCTTTAGCGGTGGGATGAATTTCATCCCAAAATAAATACTCATCCGCATTCACACATCGACTCACTTCCCTCTTCCCATCACCGTCAATAACCACGCATGGATCATCGACATTGGTAAATCCAAAAGATCTTGGATCACCGATAACTTCCATCGTTAAATTGTACACGTCGAAAACTTTGACCACCAACGATGCACTCTGTCGTGTATAATTTCGCGTCATTTCTACGAGACGTTGATTGTGCTCGCTAATCATTGATTTTACGTGTTCCATGTCGCTGCCGTTGCGATTGATATAACGTGGGGTACGATCGAGCGGAGGAATATTTAGGATTAAAATTTTGTGTGCGCCTGCTCCTTCCAATAGGTTTACTGATTGTTTGAGAGAGTCTATTAAAATTTGAGGTGTTACCGTTGAGGTGTTGTAGTTGTTTAATATTTGCTTTTCATTATAATATTAGAATATATTAAGATATTAACATATATGTGTGTATATATATATATATATATATATAAAATGCGGATAAAATTAGAAGAATATAAGAAAACCTGATAGTCATTCCCTCCAATCCAAATAAAATAAGTGGTTTGAAATCTATGTAAAGTTGTGCTAACATTCGGTAAATATTCTTTGACTAAAGTTCAAAGAAAATATCATTAATTCTAACCAAAAGATATAATGATAAGTCATGTTGTACATGAATATTATTTAATACCTTGATCTGCTAGAGAAGGAACATGATTCTTTTTTCCTTGATCATCAGTAATCGTTAAATTTGAAGGAATGATATTGTTATCTGTCGTTGCGCCTCCATATGCATAGTCTTCTACAGTGGTACCCAACTGATTTGACATTACTTCAACCCATGTTGGTCCATTTGACCATCTTCACATTATTAATACGATGAGAATAAACGAGACACATTCATGCGGAAGAATCGAAGGAAAACTAATAGTACCTTCCATTATAGTAAAAAGCGGTCGACGGGATACTACCGTTTGTCAACCTCCATATATTTCCATTATCCGTGAGCGAATCCCCAAATGCTACGAAACTGTACGAGAACCACTGACCCTGACGTAATAGTTTTACGGAAAGTATCACAGCGGTCACGAAAATTCCCATGAATATTAGAATGCAGGTTAGATGGATTATCAATCGCTTTTCCATTTTTCACGTTATTTTTTGTAAGTGTGGTTTTCCAAATTAAATCGGGACAGGGAGAAATTCTATAAATACAAAAATTTCCTTGCCCCAGTTTTTTATTATTAGTTTTCTTGGTATTATATCATATTCGTGCAATTATGATTTAGTAGTTTTGTGATCATTGATTAATAAAGATTAGTGAGAAATGATATTTACATCATGTTCAAAAATATCAAAATACGAAAATTAGTTAAACCGGAGCAAACCGAGATTTATAGGCGCTGCGCCACATAGATCGCAACCGCAATTTAAGTCAGTTTAACCATTCTGAAAAAGTTTATCCACATGATGAACACCGGTTCGGTTTCAAATCATGAATGATCCAAGTTATGTAATTTAAAAACTGTGACTTGGTATTGAGCAAATAGCCAATTTTGGAACGATAACATATATTTAACCCTATTAAAAAATTTTCAACCTAACTATTTCAGGGAGAGCGGAAATTAGCATAGCGATATGCCCGGTTCAAGTTTATCATAAAGCTTTACAATCAGTGATTTGTGAAAGGTTAATGCTTTTATGTAGATTTTGATAATTGGGTTCTACATATTTCCACCACGGTTTGTGTCACGTGATAAGAAGTTAACGATCATCATGACGATTGCTATTTCCATCATGAATAATTTCAAGTATCGGTATGGCCTCTTTGAGAGATTCAATGACGGAAATCAGGCATAAGATCCACCATTCGATTTATCGGAACCTAGTGAATCGAATGGTTAATTCTCCCTACTATTCCCGTCACCGGATCTCGAGATCTTAAGCCCCCAAAGAGGCCATACGTGGGAATTTTGTTTATCTTTTGGTGGAAATATACATAATGATCAATCCATGTGAAAATAGCAAATATCCATGGACCATCCGTTTACTAATTCCCCTCCCCAAAGTTTTGATTGAACAATGGAGAATCACATCACTGATTGGACAAAATCAATCATGTAATATCAATTCCCGGAAAACGATTAGGAGTATTGTCCAGATCATAAGGAGGTAAGGAAGGAGTTTACATGTAAAATTTTCCTTCCGAACATTTTTTATTATTATGCAAGCTTGGTTTATGCATAGTTTCTCTTTCTTTAGCGTAATTATATTCTGTGCTGGTTCCTGATCACATGTGCTT